GTATGTCGGAAGTTTGAAAGTTTTGTCGGAAATTTAGGAGGCTTTGCCCCCCACATTAAAAAGTGAATTTCCGGCATTGAGTTTATCTTATAAATAGAAGCAAATTGGCGTATTTTCAGTTTAGAAGAATCGTCTATGTCTATGAACTTTTTAGCACCTGGAACAAGCAACAAGTCATATAATAGCGGTCAGTATAATCTGCAGACCGCAGACTGCAGACCAACTACAAAATGCAGAATAGGTATAAATTGCAAACTGAAATTGCAGACTTGGTATAAAATACAGACTGTGAAAAAACATATATTTTAATATGTCATACTGTCATGAAGTTCAAATTATTTACAACTTCGAGTTTTGCCGTTCATTGTCGATGCATGTTAATGTATAAGCTTTGTATGCTTCATATAAAAAGGTTTAGAGCGATTTTCAAAATATTTTAGTGAAAATTATTGCAAAATTTAAGCACAACACAAGTACTGCTACAGTCAGGCGTACACATTTAGTACACATTTGTCATTTAAATTCGAGGATGAATTGTTCTTTCTCAAATTTATAAAAGTCATTCACTACACAAATTTATTTTTGTGACATGGTTTGTTGTTTCTTTTAGTTTGTGTATCTGGCTCATTTTAGTTCAATATTCTTCTTTACTGGTTAGGTATTAAATGGTTTAAAATGTCTTAATTTTGCTTACGTACGTTTGCTATATTTAGCAGTTCTCACAACTCTCGTGACATAAAATTGACGTTTGAGTCTTAGATTATATTTTGGTATGTCGCATAATTTTGAAAACGGGTGTAATATGTGTAGTTTTATACGTTTTTTTCACAGTCTGCATTTTATACCAAGTCTGCAATTTCAGTCTGCAATTTATACCTATTCTGCATTTTGTACTTGGTCTGCAGTCTGCAGATTATAAAATAGCATCGATTATATAATAGCATTGAAAATCAAGGACTATATAATTTCTTCGCTATTATTGGCCTTTACCAGGAGGGGCAAGGGGGGCAAAGGTGCCCTTTCAATTTAAAGGTGATTGCCTTGGCGAATTGTCAGACTCAGAAATGTTAGTGCAATTCTTTTACGAATTTGCTTCAGAAAACGCAAGAAATGCAGTTATCGAGCTTCAAGAATAGCACAATCGCCTGGCGGAGAACCCCCTCACACCCCTATCATCCAATAAATAGAAAACATGATTAGGCGAAGTTCAACTCCCGATGTTTTGCAAACATCTCTTAGTATATATCAATTCAAAAGTGCCATTTCACGAAAATCTGCGCCCCTTGCCTTCACATCGTTCCGGCGTCCCTGCTACTTCTCTACTACACATTACACCCTGCCACGAAAGTTGCCATTGTCAGGCCAGTGTAAACGCCCGAGCAGGCGTCTTGAAAAATACGAGTGTTTATCGAGGAGTTGTATCTGGCCTAGATAACAATTTTTGGAGTGCCTATGTCATAGTCAGGGAATTAGCCTATTTAGATAGTTTAGATGACTTTTGCAATATATTTTATAATTCGAAAATTTAGTCTTCACGGACTTTCAGGGGCTCAAAGTTGGCGATTTCGCCTATTTTTAAGCGTTTGGCCGTGAGCATGAAAATACTGGGGCGAGAATGCTTTTTAGCGCCGGTGTGACGTCATACAAGGAACTCATCAAAATATAAAATTGTGAACGTTCCCAGTTTGTCGTCACATCCGGCGTTTACATGCACTCTCGCCCTAGTCCTTTTACACTCTCGGTTAAGCAAAGGCACTTTAACTTTCGCAAAGTACCTGCCTCCCCGGTATGTATCTGCGAAAAAGTCACTCAACTCACAATAAAAATCACTAAAAATCCTAGAATATAAAAAATATACTGATAAGCTCTCGCTGTTGTTTTCCCGCTACATACATAATTAGTATTCCATGTGCTCGCGTGTCCCACACGCGAGATGTCCACGTAATTCCGTTCAGTTCCCACACACTCCCCTGTATACACTCTGTAAGAGGTGTATACACTAACACAACACAAAATGTTAAATTTAGAATAATTGTCAATATCACTGTACGTTACTTTTTCTTTCTCCTACTCATCCGCTGCTTCGATCTGTGCAATACGGAGTTTTGCTGCAGTCGCCGCGTCTCGCCGAGGGCGTGGCTGGAATTCTACAGCATCCGGGTTCAGAATTGGCACTTCCGGTACGATATCACAGCTCAGTTCTAACGGAAAAAGCAGCTGCACGGCTCTTTCCAAGGTTC